GATTTTGAGATATAATTGCAGTTTTAGTTCCTAATCAGTTGAGTTTACAAGTGCCGTAGAACGCCATGCTAACTTTGCACATTTCAATTTTTGAACCCCCCTAAAAGAAATGTTGTAGCCTGCAGAGGAATATTTTCCCACTTACAAGCATACAACCCTTGTCGTCGTCAGCAATTCACATTGCCTTAGTTCAAATATCTAAGCATTGCAAAGTGCCGATTTTGAGATATAATTGCAGTTTTAGTTCCTAATCAGTTGAGTTTACAAGTGCCGTAGAACGCCATGCTAACTTTGCATAATTCAATTTTTCAACCCCCGTAAAAGAAATGTTGTAGCCTGCAGAGGAATATTTTCCCACTTACAAGCATACAACCCTTGTCGTCGTCAGCAATTCACATTGCCTTAGTTCAAATATCTAAGCATTGCAAAGTGCCGATTTTGAGATATAATTGCAGTTTTAGTTCCTAATCAGTTGAGTTTACAAGTGCCGTAGAACGCCATGCTAACTTTGCACAATTCAATTTTTCAACCCCCGTAAAAGAAATGTTGTAGCCTGCAGAGGAATATTTTCCCACTTACAAGCATACAACCCTTGTCGTCGTCAGCAATTCACATTAGGGAGGTTTAGATTGATGACGAGGACGAGGATGAGGACAAAGTCAACAAGTGCGCATTCGATCTGCGCATATTTGGCGGGAATCACCATAGCGCTGCGTTCGCAAACAGTCAGTTCACAACCAAGTTTTGCGGAAAGATCGTCGCGACGAGAACGAAGTTTTTTAAATTCATAGACCCCAAGAAAATGGAAAATAGTACCCTAAAAATGTCAAGGGATGTATTTATCTGGAAAAATGTCCACGATGAATGCCTTGTGACTGAGCTTTTGGTTGTTGAGCCGTATAACCACAAACCTGGCTCAAAGGAAAGGGGCCTAGCTTGGAAGCAGATCGCTGAGAATTTAAACTCTATACCAGAGCAAGACTTCAGAGTCACAGCACGATCGGTGAGAGATAGATTTTTGAAGCTTTTAGAAAACTTCAAGAAGAATGAAGTTGCTGAGAAGAGAGCTTCGGGCATTCAAGGGGTGGAGTACAACAATTTGTATCATGGCATGCTAGATATCAGCGAGAGGATGGAAGAGGCGCAGCTTTCGTGGGCAGAAGCAAAAGATAGGATCAAGGTGAATGAAGATAAAGAAAATAAGAAGGCAGAAGATATGCGAATGAAAGCTGTCGAGCGTCTTGGGGAAACTAGAAAGAGAAAAGAAGAAGAGGATGGGACAGAAACACCGAAGAGAAGGAAAAAGGCGTTTGAGGCAGTTGTACTCATAGAGCAAGGGCTAAAGTTTAAGCAGGAAAATGCAAATCAAGAAAGAGAGTTGAAAAAAGAAGAGTTGAATGAAAGGCGTTTAGCAAGGGAGAATTTGTCCAAAATGATGGAGGGTCAACAGACCTTCATGCAAAATATGATGCAGCAACAGCAGCAATTCATGTTACAGATGCAGCAGACTCAAATGCAAACATTAGCTGTTATGAGCGAAATGATAAGTACTATCAATAACACCAAAAACAATTAAAGGTTTAACCCTAAACACTTTTTTTATAAGCATGATTTTATGCCTTAAAATTGGCCAGATGTCAGAAACAAATTAAGAACAAGCTGAGGCTGAGGTACAGTGAGACATTATTTTTTAACAAAGTTGTGAAGCCTTTTTAAAAAATGTTTGCCATCTAGGGGTCAGCTTTGTTGTTGAGTTTTCAAACTTTTCTGCAAATAAAGGATGGCTTACTCCCCTTGACCACAATATTTAGCAATTGAACTGATTAAACCCATATAATTTCAGAACAATCCAGCCTCAAAGTTTTGGAAAAATTTAAAACAGCCAGCCTGAACTTCAATTTACCAGCTCTTGTGAAATAGAGTTTAGAGTATATTAGAATACATTAACACATGTTTTTCTTTAATGTTTTTTCTAATTTTGCTGATCATATTGAAAGTATGTTTCTAATGATGGTGGTTCAATGTCCATAAATCTGCTCACTGATGATCCATATAAACATGTTCTTGCATTGTGTAGGAGGGCACAAGCTCTATACATTTTCCCAATTTCTGAGAGAGCAATCTTTTGATTCTTCTTGAAGTCAACAAAGGCAAAGTACTGCAGAATTTCACCAAACACCCACTCAACTGAATCTCTAACCTTACTCATTGCCTTATTGTATGCCTGTTGTTCTTCTGTTAAGTGGTTGTTCTTGAAAGGAGCTTGTAAATGGGGTCTGAGAGGGTATGCAGGGTCTCCGTAGATGCATAATGGTGTCCCATCTAATCTGTTTGAATGATTTTCAAGCAACTGGATAATGCCAGACTCCCTCAGCAACCTTGCATCATGTCTTTTTCCTTCTGAAAAAAGGTAGCACAGCAACAATTAATGTTGTGAGGATAATATTTGAAGGGGGCTCTTCAAAAGAACAGATAAATCCTTGCAAATATTTTTCTAAGAATAATATGAAAAAACTTTCGTAAATAATATTCTGAATGGTTTAAATATCAATAAGACACTGAGTAAAAAGTTTTTAAACAATTTTAAGATAGACTTAGTGATGCTTTTGATCCACCAGTAAAATACTGTATCAACAGGTGCTAAATTAAATATATAAAACAAACTTACCAACTGGTCCATATAGATTAGCAATTAACCCATTAGCAGCAACAACAGCTTGATATTTTAAAGCGTGTACTCGCTTGTGTCCATTGTACACAGTTTTCTGGTTCTCAACCGGTCTACAAATAGGTCTGACTGTGCCGTCGATGAAACCCCAGCAGTTATCCAAGGCTTGACTTTGTCGAAATACTGCATTGGCATACCCTTCAAGTTGCTCTGTTTGCAGCCACTGCTGTTCAAATGTCATAAGTAAATGCTGAAATGAATCTGCAACGTGACGCATTATCTGATTCGATATCAAGCAGAGTTCATACTTGGACCTTCCAAAGCGTGAGATCATGTCTCTAAGACGGCACGGATATGAAAATCGTTTCAAAAATAAACAGAGGCCCTCAGTTTGGCTTGCAACCGTCCCATTCACACAAACTATTTTTTCTGGTACTTTAATAACCTTCGCGAGTCGCGGAATATCTTGCTTTTCGAAACGAAATTCTGAGATGCACTCATCCTCGTTCATTTCTTCCAACGTAAATCGTGGATATTTCCAGTAGGGAAACACTGGTGCTTTATCTTCGCTTTCTTTTACAAGAAACATAAACTCCTCTTCGTCAACGAGGTCTTCACTGTACAGGTAAGCTGCTGCTTCAAAAAGCTCATTAGACGCCATTTTGTTTATTTTTGTGGGGTTGTCCTCGTTTCGTAATCTAAACAGTGGGATCCCGTGGCGACGACGACATATAGATCCCAGACTCCCTCGCGATAGAACTTTGTCTTCGTCCTCGTTCTCGTCTTCATTCTAAACCTCCCTATTGCCTTAGTTCAAATATCTAAGCATTGCAAAGTGCCGATTTTGAGATATAATTGCAGTTTTAGTTCCTAATCAGTTGAGTTTACAAGTGGCGTAGAACGCCATGCTAACTTTGCACATTTCAATTTTTCAACCCCCGTAAAAGAAATGTTGTAGCCTGCAGAGGAATATTTTCCCACTTACAAGCATACAACCCTTGTCATCGTCAGCAATTCACATTGCCTTAGTTCAAATATCTAAGCATTGCAAAGTGCCGATTTTGAGATATAATTGCAGTTTTAGTTCCTAATCAGTCGAGTTTACAAGTGCCGTAGAACGCCATGCTAACTTTGCACATTTCAATTTTTCAACCCCCGTAAAAGAAATGTTGTAGCCTGCAGAGGAATATTTTCCCACTTACAAGCATACAACCCTTGTCGTCGTCAGCAATTCACATTGCCTTAGTTCAAATATCGAAGCATTGCAAAGTGCCGATTTTGAGATATAATTGCAGTTTTAGTTCCTAATCAGTTGAGTTTACAAGTGCCCTAGAACGCCATGCTAACTTTGCACATTTCAATTTTTCAACCCCCGTAAAAGAAATGTTGTAGCCTGCAGAGGAATATTTTCCCACTTACAAGCATACAACCCTTGTCGTTGTCAGCAATTCACATTGCCTTAGTTCAAATATCTAAGCATTGCAAAGTGCCGATTTTGAGATATAATTGCAGTTTTAGTTCCTAATCAGTTGATTTTACAAGTGCCGTAGAACGCCATGCTAACTTTGCACATTTCAATTTTTCAACCCCCGTAAAAGAAATGTTGTAGCCTGCAGAGGAATATTTTCCCACTTACAAGCATACAACCCTTGTCGTCGTCAGCAATTCACATTGCCTTAGTTCAAATATCTAAGCATTGCAAAGTGCCGATTTTGAGATATAATTGCAGTTTTAGTTCCTAATCAGTTGAGTTTACAAGTGCCGTAGAACGCCATGCTAACTTTGCACAATTCAATTTTTCAACCCCCGTAAAAGAAATGTTGTAGCCTGCAGAGGAATATTTTCCCACTTACAAGCATACAACCCTTGTCGTCGTCAGCAATTCACATTAGGGAGGTTTAGATTGATGACGAGGACGAGGATGAGGACAAAGTCAACAAGTGCGCATTCGATCTGCGCATATTTGGCGGGAATCACCATAGCGCTGCGTTCGCAAACAGTCAGTTCACAACCAAGTTTTGCGGAAAGATCGTCGCGACGAGAACGAAGTTTTTTAAATTCATAGACCCCAAGAAAATGGAAAATAGTACCCTTAAAATGTCAAGGGATGTATTTATCTGGAAAAATGTCCACGATGAATGCCTTGTGACTGAGCTTTTGGTTGTTGAGCCGTATAACCACAAACCTGGCTCAAAGGAAAGGAGCCTAGCTTGGAAGCAGATCGCTGAGAATTTAAACTCTATACCAGAGCAAGACTTCAGAGTCACAGCACGATCGGTGAGAGATAGATTTTTGAAGCTTTTAGAAAACTTCAAGAAGAATGAAGTTGCTGAGAAGAGAGCTTCGGGCATTCAAGGGGTGGAGTACAACAATTTGTATCATGGCATGCTAGATATCAGCGAGAGGATGGAAGAGGCGCAGCTTTCGTGGGCAGAAGCAAAAGATAGGATCAAGGTGAATGAAGATAAAGAAAATAAGAAGGCAGAAGATATGCGAATGAAAGCTGTCGAGCGTCTTGGGGAAACTAGAAAGAGAAAAGAAGAAGAGGATGGGACAGAAACACCGAAGAGAAGGAAAAAGGCGTTTGAGGCAGTTGTACTCATAGAGCAAGGGCTAAAGTTTAAGCAGGAAAATGCAAATCAAGAAAGAGAGTTGAAAAAAGAAGAGTTGAATGAAAGGCGTTTAGCAAGGGAGAATTTGTCCAAAATGATGGAGGGTCAACAGACCTTCATGCAAAATATGATGCAGCAACAGCAGCAATTCATGTTACAGATGCAGCAGACTCAAATGCAAACATTAGCTGTTATGAGCGAAATGATAAGTACTATCAATAACACCAAAAACAATTAAAGGTTTAACCCTAAACACTTTTTTTATAAGCATGATTTTATGCCTTAAAATTGGCCAGATGTCAGAAACAAATTAAGAACAAGCTGAGGCTGAGGTACAGTGAGACATTATTTTTTAACAAAGTTGTGAAGCCTTTTTAAAAAATGTTTGCCATCTAGGGGTCAGCTTTGTTGTTGAGTTTTCAAACTTTTCTGCAAATAAAGGATGGCTTACTCCCCTTGACCACAATATTTAGCAATTGAACTGATTAAACCCATATAATTTCAGAACAATCCAGCCTCAAAGTTTTGGAAAAATTTAAAACAGCCAGCCTGAACTTCAATTTACCAGCTCTTGTGAAATAGAGTTTAGAGTATATTAGAATACATTAACACATGTTTTTCTTTAATGTTTTTTCTAATTTTGCTGATCATATTGAAAGTATGTTTCTAATGATGGTGGTTCAATGTCCATAAATCTGCTCACTGATGATCCATATAAACATGTTCTTGCATTGTGTAGGAGGGCACAAGCTCTATACATTTTCCCAATTTCTGAGAGAGCAATCTTTTGATTCTTCTTGAAGTCAACAAAGGCAAAGTACTGCAGAATTTCACCAAACACCCACTCAACTGAATCTCTAACCTTACTCATTGCCTTATTGTATGCCTGTTGTTCTTCTGTTAAGTGGTTGTTCTTGAAAGGAGCTTGTAAATGGGGTCTGAGAGGGTATGCAGGGTCTCCGTAGATGCATAATGGTGTCCCATCTAATCTGTTTGAATGATTTTCAAGCAACTGGATAATGCCAGACTCCCTCAGCAACCTTGCATCATGTCTTTTTCCTTCTGAAAAAAGGTAGCACAGCAACAATTAATGTTGTGAGGATAATATTTGAAGGGGGCTCTTCAAAAGAACAGATAAATCCTTGCAAATATTTTTCTAAGAATAATATGAAAAAACTTTCGTAAATAATATTCTGAATGGTTTAAATATCAATAAGACACTGAGTAAAAAGTTTTTAAACAATTTTAAGATAGACTTAGTGATGCTTTTGATCCACCAGTAAAATACTGTATCAACAGGTGCTAAATTAAATATATAAAACAAACTTACCAACTGGTCCATATAGATTAGCAATTAACCCATTAGCAGCAACAACAGCTTGATATTTTAAAGCGTGTACTCGCTTGTGTCCATTGTACACAGTTTTCTGGTTCTCAACCGGTCTACAAATAGGTCTGACTGTGCCGTCGATGAAACCCCAGCAGTTATCCAAGGCTTGACTTTGTCGAAATACTGCATTGGCATACCCTTCAAGTTGCTCTGTTTGCAGCCACTGCTGTTCAAATGTCATAAGTAAATGCTGAAATGAATCTGCAACGTGACGCATTATCTGATTCGATATCAAGCAGAGTTCATACTTGGACCTTCCAAAGCGTGAGATCATGTCTCTAAGACGGCACGGATATGAAAATCGTTTCAAAAATAAACAGAGGCCCTCAGTTTGGCTTGCAACCGTCCCATTCACACAAACTATTTTTTCTGGTACTTTAATAACCTTCGCGAGTCGCGGAATATCTTGCTTTTCGAAACGAAATTCTGAGATGCACTCATCCTCGTTCATTTCTTCCAACGTAAATCGTGGATATTTCCAGTAGGGAAACACTGGTGCTTTATCTTCGCTTTCTTTTACAAGAAACATAAACTCCTCTTCGTCAACGAGGTCTTCACTGTACAGGTAAGCTGCTGCTTCAAAAAGCTCATTAGACGCCATTTTGTTTATTTTTGTGGGGTTGTCCTCGTTTCGTAATCTAAACAGTGGGATCCCGTGGCGACGACGACATATAGATCCCAGACTCCCTCGCGATAGAACTTTGTCTTCGTCCTCGTTCTCGTCTTCATTCTAAACCTCCCTATTGCCTTAGTTCAAATATCTAAGCATTGCAAAGTGCCGATTTTGAGATATAATTGCAGTTTTAGTTCCTAATCAGTTGAGTTTACAAGTGGCGTAGAACGCCATGCTAACTTTGCACATTTCAATTTTTCAACCCCCGTAAAAGAAATGTTGTAGCCTGCAGAGGAATATTTTCCCACTTACAAGCATACAACCCTTGTCGTCGTCAGCTATTCACATTGCCTTAGTTCAAATATCTAAGCATTGCAAAGTGCCGATTTTGAGATATAATTGCAGTTTTAGTTCCTAATCAGTTGAGTTTACAAGTGCCGTAGAACGCCATGCTAACTTTGCACATTTCAATTTTTCAACCCCCGTAAAAGAAATGTTGTAGCCTGCAGAGGAATATTTTCCCACTAACAAGCATACAACCCTTGTCATCGTCAGCAATTCACATTGCCTTAGTTCAAATATCTAAGCATTGCAAAGTGCCGATTTTGAGATATAATTGCAGTTTTAGTTCCTAATCAGTTGAGTTTACGAGTGCCGTAGAACGCCATGCTAACTTTGCACATTTCAATTTTTCAACCCCCGTAAAAGAAATGTTGTAGCCTGCAGAGGAATATTTTCCCACTTACAAGCATACAAGCCTTGTCGTCGTCAGCAATTCACATTGCCTTAGTTCAAATATCTAAGCATTGCAAAGTGCCGATTTTGAGATATAATTGCAGTTTTAGTTCCTAATCAGTTGAGTTTACAAGTGCCGTAGAACGCCATGCTAACTTTGCACAATTCAATTTTTCAACCCCCGTAAAGGAAATGTTGTAGCTTGCAGAGGAATATTTTCCCACTTACAAGCATACAAGCCTTGTCGTCGTCAGCAATTCACATTGCCTTAGTTCAAATATCTAAGCATTGCAAAGTGCCGATTTTGAGATATAATCGTAGTTTTAGTTCCTAATCAGTTGAGTTTACAAGTGCCGTAGAACGCCATGCTAACTTTGCACAATTCAATTTTTCAACCCCCGTAAAAGAAATGTTGTAGCCTGCAGAGGAATATTTTCCCACTTACAAGCATACAAGCCTTGTCGTCGTCAGCAATTCACATTAGGGAGGTTTAGATTGATGACGAGGACGAGGATGAGGACAAAGTCAACAAGTGCGCATTCGATCTGCGCATATTTGGCGGGAATCACCATAGCGCTGCGTTCGCAAACAGTCAGTTCACAACCAAGTTTTGCGGAAAGATCGTCGCGACGAGAACGAAGTTTTTTAAATTCATAGACCCCAAGAAAATGGAAAATAGTACCCTTAAAATGTCAAGGGATGTATTTATCTGGAAAAATGTCCACGATGAATGCCTTGTGACTGAGCTTTTGGTTGTTGAGCCGTATAACCACAAACCTGGCTCAAAGGAAAGGAGCCTAGCTTGGAAGCAGATCGCTGAGAATTTAAACTCTATACCAGAGCAAGACTTCAGAGTCACAGCACGATCGGTGAGAGATAGATTTTTGAAGCTTTTAGAAAACTTCAAGAAGAATGAAGTTGCTGAGAAGAGAGCTTCGGGCATTCAAGGGGTGGAGTACAACAATTTGTATCATGGCATGCTAGATATCAGCGAGAGGATGGAAGAGGCGCAGCTTTCGTGGGCAGAAGCAAAAGATAGGATCAAGGTGAATGAAGATAAAGAAAATAAGAAGGCAGAAGATATGCGAATGAAAGCTGTTGAGCGTCTTGGGGAAACTAGAAAGAGAAAAGAAGAAGAGAATGGGACAGAAACACCGAAGAGAAGGAAAAAGGCGTCTGAGGCAGTTGTACTCATAGAGCAAGGGCTAAAGTTTAAGCAGGAAAATGCAAATCAAGAAAGAGAGTTGAAAAAAGAAGAGTTGAATGAAAGGCGTTTAGCAAGGGAGAATTTGTCCAAAATGATGGAGGGTCAACAGACCTTCATGCAAAATATGATGCAGCAACAGCAGCAATTCATGTTACAGATGCAGCAGACTCAAATGCAAACATTAGCTGTTATGAGCGAAATGATAAGTACTATCAATAACACCAAAAACAATTAAAGGTTTAACCCTAAACACTTTTTTTATAAGCATGATTTTATGCCTTAAAATTGGCCAGATGTCAGAAACAAATTAAGAACAAGCTGAGGCTGAGGTACAGTGAGACATTATTTTTTAACAAAGTTGTGAAGCCTTTTTAAAAAATGTTTGCCATCTAGGGGTCAGCTTTGTTGTTGAGTTTTCAAACTTTTCTGCAAATAAAGGATGGCTTACTCCCCTTGACCACAATATTTAGCAATTGAACTGATTAAACCCATATAATTTCAGAACAATCCAGCCTCAAAGTTTTGGAAAAATTTAAAACAGCCAGCCTGAACTTCAATTTACCAGCTC